TGAAGGGGTGGGAGAGACAGCTGCATTTTTTCATCCCTGCCCAGGAGCCCTTGGCGCACTACGACAAATGGCTCGGCGAGTCTGGACAAAACCGCTGGAGGTGCTGACATCATCCGACCCTAGATCGTGCTCGACATCAATTTCGGAGTGACATTCGATTTTGGTTACTACTTCAACGAATTTCGCCGACGCTCATATTTGACTTTACGACGAATCGCCTTCACCGACGACATTTTCGTACCAACCCCGACTTCACGGCCAGAGGATTTCGGGATACATCCGCTCCAACTCTACTAGCGACAAATCCATCCACTCGACCCGCCCACGACAACTACATTGATTTCAAACACGTCAAATGCTGCCAACTACATCTGCTGAAGATACTGCATGATTCTGGCGTGTGAAGACAAAAACAGGTTCAGTTCGAGCAACGCATAATTTCTGCCACGGTTTCTGGTCTACTTACGCGGGCTCGCCCTTGAAGACTTTTTGGGGCACGTAAACCTGGGTTCGCCATCGACATTTCCACACCGACGACATTTCGCTTGGACGTTTACATCCGACGCTCTTAATCGTGGGACTTAACGCCTGGCTATTTGTTGGTTTTCATCTCGGCGCAGCAGTGAAACATTTTTTGGTGTCTTTTCTTGGAGGGGGGGAGAAAGTGTTTTGCACTATTTCTTTCCTTGGTGTTTTCTCGAGTTTCTTCTTGACTTTGTCAGGTTGCGTCAGCACGACGGACGACCGCGATCACACCGACAGGATCGACGACTTCTGCTACATCACGATTGAATTTCGCGTCAGCAGTTTCCCTCCACATCCGCGACATCGCTGACCGTCAGATCTGCAGTCATCGCAATTACGGCCCACATTCTAACTTTCAATCCACTTTGGGCCAGTTCATCATGGACCGTCAGATCGAAATCGAATTTCATCAACGGCCTACATTCCAACCTTTTCAAAAATATTTGTCCAAGGCATTTCGGCCGTCGGATTCAGCTGAAGAGAAGATCTACGGAATCCTCGCTAGTGTGGGGCCTTTTTCAGTACAGGGCTGCCTTATTTAGAAGGTGGGAGAGTGTAAGGATTTACAAATCCTTACTGAGGCACTCGTTAGCAAGGACATCCCGAGGGTCACGGGACGAACCTGTCCTTCCTATTTCGTCGCACCAAACCACTCCCGAGTCGCCTCCGCTCCAATCGCAACCATCACCGAGCCATCCTCGCCCAACCTCTCCGCCTAGCTAGGACTTCCCCTATTTAGTCGTACCTTTCTCATTGTATCGTCATTCAGTAATTCAGTACTCAATCATTCTCGATATTCGCTCTACTGCGCACTCTGCAAGTTCATTCATAACATGCAATCAGTTGGTTATGTAACCGGGCAACAGTGGCAAATGCAATGTGAACTGCGACTTTTTTCTTCTCCACTTTTCGACACTCAACGTCAAACTTTCAAAACGTTGGTGCTGATCGAGATTTCTTGTTCTGTAAGAAACTTGAGGAACCAAGTTGCCGGTTACACCTAGCCAGCGCCAATTTCACACCCCGTCAGTTTTGGGTTAGGACGTGGGCCTAATCTACTTTGATCGGCGCGATCAGAGGCGATCAAAAACTTCGAGGAAGGCGGGAAGCACATTTCAGGCAATCAGGGGCAATCAGCTGATCGCGCCAACTCAATCAACCGCCTCAAACAGCCCGATCAGACACAATCAGCCCCAATCACTTGATTGCATGTGATCGGCGACCTGGGCCACATGCGCGAAATGTAACACGCCTCGCCATGAGGTCTTAAAAATCCTTGCGAAAACACCCTGATTGGCGAGAACTGTGTGTTGGGACATGATGTCGGCGACATTACCACGATACTGAGATTCGTCCGTATCGCCAAAGTTGGGATGCAACTACCAGGTAATGGGCCGACAGTTTTCATGCAAGAGCGCAAAACATTCAAGGAAAATCATCCCTGATCGGGCGGCGCGAGAAAAACGATCACAATCAATCTGATCCGATCCGAACCGATCCGATCAGAGCTGATCGAAGTCGATTCGGCCCACGTCCTTAAAGCCCATTTGAACCGTTTTTGCCTTTGGAGATCAGACACCCAAGGAACTAGAGGCTATCCGTGGCATTGTAAAGTGTCGATGTTCTGTATAACTTTGAGACTGCTACGTAAAGACTGGATCAGGTTGCTGTGACCATGTTTTTATTTTCCCGCTGACTCTTAAAGCCCAGGACCTGAATTACAAAAAAAGGAAGGCAATCTGTACACAATTTGCCTACCGAACCCACAGTTGACCTCCCGAGCCAGGCTGGTTACCAGAAAAGATTGCGCCAAGAAACACAGAGTCGTAGAGCAGAACAGGTTTGGTTGGCGAGAGTCCCAACCACACCCTCCTGAAGGAACAAGGGCTCAAAATGTGCACAGTTTGCCTTCTTCGGTAATTCAGATCGTGTGATTTCCATGTTAGAATATATCTGTAACTGCTTGTAGCTGTAATTAGTGTAGTTATTATAAACTTTGTTAGGTGGTGCACCTTCTTTGTTCATTTGCTATATGTTCTTGCAAACCTATAGTGAAGCCATTCATTCTCGTTTCTCGTCATGCTATCAGAGCAAACTACGTTCCTGGCCTGTTGCTTTCGCTGCTACTCTGTGTACTGCACGCCCCGTGGCGTGCCCCTCGCGAGACCCTTAGTGGCCCCTCGCGGCCCCCTTCGTGGCCCTGTCGCCGCCCTTCCAGGCCCTTTGCGGCCCCTTCGCGGCCCCGTCGCCGCCCCTATCGGCCCCGTTGCCGACCTTTCAGGCCCCTCGCGGCCCCTTCGCGGCCCCGTCGCCGCCTCCAGCGGCCCCGTCGCCGCCCCTACCGGCCCCGTCGCCGACCTTTCAGGCCCCTCGCGGCCCCTTCGCGGCCCCGTCGCCGCCCCTATCGGCCCCGTCACCGCCTCAAGCGGCCCCGTCGCCGCCTCCAGCGGCCCCGTCGCCGCCCCTATCGGCCCCGTCGCCGCCTCCAGCGGCCCTGTCGCCGCCCCTTGCGGCCCCGTCGCTGCCCCTTTCGGCCCTGCCTCGACCCTGACCCCGGCCCTGCCCCGACCCTGACGCGGCCCCGTCCCGGACCTGCCCCGACCCCGGCCCTGCCCCGACCCTGTCGCGGCCCCTCGGCGCGGCCCTGCCCCGACCCTGTAGCGGCCCCGTCCCGGACCTGCCCCGACCCCGGCCCTGCCCTAACCCTGTCGCGGCCCTATTGCAGCCCCCCCCCTGCTATGCCCCGACCCTGCCTCGACCTTGCCCTGGCCCCGCCCCGACCATGCTCCGTCGCCTGTCTCGGCGCACCGGGGGCACGTGCACCGCCCCCCCCTCTTTTTCCCGTCGCCCGTTGCGGCTCCCTGGGGGGCCGCACGCGGCCCCCTCAGGTTGCCTCGACAGGCGACGGGAGGGGCGACCTAGGGGGGGGGGGGGGGGGGGCGAGCGTTGCCCCTTCTGCCGCCTGCTTTGGCGCCCTGGGAGGCCGCGCGTCGCCCCCCCCTCCCCCCTCCACCCCCCCTGTAACCTCCCTACCCGCCATCCCACCCTGCCCTGTGTTAGGGTTTGGGGGTGGCGAGTAGGGGGTGGCGGGTGTGGGGGTGGCGGGTGTGTGGTCTCCCCTTCCCCTCCTCCTCCTTTTGTTCCCACTGCTGCAGCTGTCGCAGGGGGGGAGGGTGTGAGGGTGTGGGGGAGCCAGAGAAGTGGCATTGGGGTGGCGGGTGTGTGGTCTCCCCTTCCCATCCTCCTCCTTTCGCCCCCCCTCTGCTGCTCCTGCAGCAGTGGGAGGGGGAGGGGGAGGGGGAGGGTGAGTGGATGGAGTGGGTGACCAGCCTGCGCCAGCCCGCCTCCTCTCTCTCCCTGCCGCCCCTCCTGTGGTCGGGGGGGGGAGGAGAGTGAAGGGGTGGCAGGAGTGCCTGCCCCCCCCCCCCCTTTGCTGCTGTACCTGCTTTGTAACCTTGCCTGTTGCATGCTGTTGCTGTTTTCTCAGTTCGTGGTGTACCCATCCAGGTTGTGTCACTGCATAGACTCCTGCTTCTGGCAGTTATGGGGGAGTGTTAGAGTATATCTGTAACTGCCTGTAGCTGTAGTTAGTGTAGTTATTATAAACTTTGTTAGGTGGTGCACCTTCTTTGTTCATTTGCTATATGTTCTTGCAAACCTATAGTGAAGTCATTCATTCTCGTTTCTCGTCATTCCATAGTACGCGAAGCGATTAGAGTATGCGAAGAGATAGAATAAAACGCCACTACAGCATAGGCCATGAGCATTTTCACTTTTATTCCTAGCTCTTTCCCAAACATCGCATTTGGACCTATTGCCTTCCGCGTCCCCCACGCTTCTCCCCACCGTCTCTCACACACCTCCCCACGCACACGCCCACTCTTCCCACCGTCGCCCAAGCTTTCCCACACCGCCGCTCACGCTTCCCCTTATCGCCGCTCACGCTTCCTCCGGCCTTCCCCCACACCGTCGCTCACCCCTTTCCCCACCTTCCCTCACGTTTCCCCTCTCATCGCCCACGATTCCTCCCACCGTCGCCCACGCTTCGGAGCACCGTCACCCACGCTTCCCCCCACCGTCGCCCACGCTTCCCCCCACCGTCGCCCACGCTTCCCCCCACCGTCTCCCACGCTTCCCCCCATTGTCGCCCACGCTTCCCTCCACCGTTGCCCACGCTTCCCCCCACCGTCGCCCCCGCTTCCCCCCACCGTCGCCCACGCTTCCCCCCACCGTCACCCACGCTTCCCCCCACCCTCGCCCACGCTTTCCCCCACCCTCGCCCACGCTTCCCCCCAATGTCGCCCACGCTTCCCCCCACCGTCGCCCACGCTTCTCCCCACCGTCGCCCACCGCCACCGTCGCCCACCGCCACCGTCGCCCACCGCCACCGTCGCCCACCGCCACTGTCGCCCACGCTTGCCCTCCCATCGTCCTCGCTTAGCCTTCCCGCCGACCTCCCTTCTCTCCTCCTCTCTTCACGTCGTCATCACTCCCCTGCCCATCACGTTCCCCCTATTCACCATCGCTTCTCTACCCATGCCGCGCACCCTCTCATCCCTTCCCATTGCGTTGGGTGTGGGAGGGTGCGTGGTCAGCGGCACCCTTTCGTCGCATACACGTTCATTCATTACCCCTTCCCTCATCTCCCCATTCCTCATCTCCCCATTCCTCATCTCCCCTTCCCTCATCTCCTCATCCCTCACCTCCCCATCCCTCTCCTCCCCAGCCCTCTCCTCCCCATCCCACACCTCCCCATCCCTCACCTCCTCATCCCTCATCTCCCCATCCCTCATCTCCCCAATCCGCCTCACCCCATTCCGCCCCGCCCCACCCCATTCCGCCCCACCCCTTTCTGCCCCACTCCATTCCGCCCCACCCCTTTCTGGCCCACCCCATTCCACCCCACCCCAGCCTCCTCCCCACCCTCCTCCCCAGCCTCCTCCCCAGCCTCCTCCCCAGCCTCCTCCCCAGCCTCCTCCCCACCCTCCTCCCCACCCTCCTCCCCACCCTCCTCCTCACCCTCCTCCCCACCCTCCTCCCCACCCTCCTCCCCACCCTCCTCCCCACCCTCTCTTCCTCCCCTCCCTTCTGCTTCTCCCCCAAGCGTCCTCCCTACCTCCCTTCCTCCCATCATCACTTCCTCCCTTCCTTCATTCCTGCATTCCTCACTTCCTCCCTTCCTCATTTGCCAGTTGTCATTCCCTTATACTTCAGCCACGTCACATCTGACTTCTTGATTTGTGTTTGGACAGGTCTGCTCTGCATCTGGTTGTGCATGTGCTAGCTGTCTGATAGTAATACACGTACAGCCAAGCCATATATTGGATTATTTTTTTATAATACAGGATTATGAGCCTCAGAGCAATCATACACATGACCAGCACCAAGGAGTTCAACAATTAATATATTACCATATCTGTAAAGTAAGGGGAATCACCAGACTCGAGAAGGGAACAAAGCTAGGGGGTGTATGTGTAATGTTGTTTTACGGTTTTGTCTGCTACACTCCAAGCAATAAACCAGGCAGTGGTAAAGCCACATCTGGTGCTGAGCACCTGTAACTGCATTGGGGGGTATGGGGGTGAGTGAAGGGGGAAAGACAGTAAACGGAATGAGCAGAGGGGAAGAGAAGAAGCAGCGGGGGACAGATTGAACAGAGGGGAAGAGAGGAAGCAGGGGGGAACAGAGTGAGCAAGGGGGAAGAGAGTGAGCAGAGAAGAAGGGGAGGGAGCAAGGGTGAAACAGAGGGAGCAGGGGTGAGCAAGGAAGGCGATAGGGGGAAGCAGGGAAGGAGATAGGGGGAAGCAGGGAAGGGGATGGGGGGGAGCAAGGAAAGGGATGGGGGTGAGCAGGGAAGCGGATGGGGGGATGCTGGGAGGGGGACGGGGGAAGGAGGGAAGGGGACGGGGGGAAGCAGGGAAGGGGAAGGGGGAAAGCAGGGAAGGGGATGGGGGGGAGCAGGGAAGGGGTTGGGGGGAAGCAGGGAAGGGGATGAGGGGAGCACGTCGGAGGATGGGGGGAAGCAGCGCAGGGGATATGAGGAAACAGGGAAGAAGGGAAGGGTGTATGTGCGGGCTGGAAAGGGGGCGTGACAAGTGTGCGAGATGGGAAGGGAGAAGGGAGGGATGGCGAGGGCAACGAGGAGTGGAAGGGAGGGCGACGGGGAAAACGAGGGCGACGGGGGGAGAGAGAGACGGGGATTGCGAGGGGACGAGCGCGAGACGAAGGGGGGCAACGGGCGGAAGGGAGGGAAAGAGAGCGTGAAGGGGGAAAGAGAGTGAGAAGGGGGGAAAGAGAGTGAGCAAGGGGAAAGAGAGTGAGCAGGGGGGGAAGAGAGTGAGTAGGGGGGGAGAGAGTGAGTATAGGCGTGAGTTGGGAAAACAGGGGCGAGCAGAGGGGGTAAGAGAGCGTGAAGGGGGAAAATGGGTGAGAAATGGGGAAAGTGGGGTTAGAACAAGGGGAGTGAGCAGAGGGAAAGAGAATGAGGAGGGGGGAAGCGAGTGAGCAGGGGGAAAGAGATTGAGGAGGGGGGAAGCGAGTGAGCACAGGGGAAGAGAGTGAGCAGGGGGGAAGAGAGTGAGCAGGGGGGAAGAGATTGAGGAGGGGGGAAGCGAGTGAGCAGGGGGGAAGAGAGTGAGCAGGGGGGAAGAGAGTGAGCAGGGGGAAAGAGAGTGAGCAGGGGGGAAGAGAGTGAGCAAGGGGAAAGAGATTGAGCAGGAGAGAGTGAAAGGCAATGGGAGGGGAAGTGAAGGTGACGGGTGGGGAAGCGAGTGTGACGAGAGGGGGAAGTGAAGGCGATGGGAGGGGGAAGTGAAGGCGACGGGAGGGGGAAGTGAAGGCGACGGGAGGGGGAAATGAAGGCGGCGGGAGGGGGAAATGAAGGCGACGGGAGGGGGAAATGAAGGCGACGGGAGGGGGAAATGAAGGCGACGGGAGGGGGAAGTGAAGGCGACGGGAGGGGGAAGTGAAAGCGACGGGAGGGGGAAATGAAGGCAACGGAAGAGGGGGGGGAGTGAAGGCGACGGGGGAGAAGTGAAGGCGACGGGCGGAGCGAAGGCGACGGGCACGCGACGAGCTGCGGGAGTGATGGCGACGACGCGGGCGAAAGAGAGCGGAAGCGTGAGAAAGGAAAGCGAGGGCGAGGGGAGGGTCACATTTGGGCGAACGGTTGCGATTCGATTTTCGCCACGAGTTTACGCTACGGAGTAGTTGCACAATAACCTGCATTTCGACACAATAATCTTCACCCAGTGCAAACTAGCTTTGCGCATCATCATTTCAAATTCGCGCCACCCAAATCATATGGCGCATCTACTCCCTTTTGAGTGAACGCCGACGCCTTGCCCTGTCTACAGGTATGGTCTATGCCTAATACTCTGCGTGCTATCCCAAACTGTGCACAATTTGATAAGCTCGTGCTTTTCTGGTTGTAGGAAGGGCACCGACCATCATGGGAAGCGAGAAACGTTTGTCGCAAATTGGTTTCGCGAGTGAAAATCTCTCGCAACCCAACCGAACCTCTCCGTGCCTGCCTCCCGGACCTAGTTTTTAGCGTTGACTTCCGTTGAGTAATTCAGGTCTTGGGCTTTAAGCGGAGTCTGAATCGTTAATTCCTTAAAGCCAAACTGTTCGAAACAACTCTCAATTTCCGGGTAAATCAGGAACGAATACAGGGGGGGTGAAATTGGAGGGTGTGAAAATACCGCGGACCATGTGTAGTGCCTATTCCTAGGTGTGCGTTGGTGTGTGTGTCTGTGTTTTTTTTTTTTGTAAAGACGTATTTCACTTATAAAAGTGGGCACATCCACAGTCGTAAGGGTGTGCGTGCGTATGTGTGTGTGCGTCTTTTTTTTTTAATGAATCCACAACTACAGAAATGTACAGTATCCGCAGTCGTATCGCCAACCCTAACTGTTTTCCCGGGTAGTTTTGACTCATGGTATCTGCCGTATCGCCAATCGCCTAAAAAAAAACCTTTGGATTTACTAAGGGCGATGTCAGGCTACACATTTCTCGCAAGTTTACAGTTCTTGAGTCGTGGTTAAAAACGATTTAAATCGGTGAAAAGCGGTTCTTTCTATTTACCGTTCTTCACCATGTTGAAACAAAGTCATAGGCAGTGGGCGTGCAAAAAGTTGTACAACCTGACGTTGCCCTAAAGATAATAAGTTCCAAGAATCCGTGGTTGTGTGGATATTCACGTGGTAATCCTGATGCGTCCAGATAACTATGACTGTCAGAGGTCCACTGGAGATCCCCGATTGATCCTAGGGAAGGGTTACAGGCACGTTGGCCTGGGGGGTTATGGGCGCACTGACCCGCTACTTAACAAGCCCTTTTATCCCAATGGTCTAGTGGTTGGGATTCTGACATGGTATCAGAGCGAAGGTCTCGGGTTCGAATCCCAGTGTGTGCACCTCGGGCATCTCAGTGCGGGGGGGTGTCAGAGGTCCACTGGAGATCCCCGATTTGACAAAGTTTGAAGAAAGAAAAAGGGATGAACTAGCAAAAATGGGGATACAAATAGCAAACCCTAGAAGGGTTGTACTCGCTATAGAGCACCCCACTACAGGCTAGAACATAAGAATAATATTCTGACACACCCCCATAGCCAAAGTGGGGTGTAATCAGCAGAGCAGGCAAAGCAAAACAAGCTCAGGGTGGATCACAATGTCACCACACATTCTGAGCACAAGTTCAAGAAGAAATAGTTTAGAGTTCACAATTATAAGCAAAGCTAGTGGTAGTCACAACGGGCAAGTGAGGAGGAGGAGGGAGAGTGAGGGGAGAGGAGACAGGAGGCGACGGCTGAAGCTGCAGACACACGGGCAACAGGAGGCAGACTGGCACAGCGGCTACCGGACAGCGCCCGGACTACAGGAGTAACAGGCCCCGCGGCTCAAATAGCGGCGGACGGGCAACGGACCCACGGGCGGCTCGCACAGCTGGCTACGACTGGGCTACCGGGACATCACCCCGGACTACAGGTGTTGCGGACGACAAGCCGGCAGCCTCCGCTCAACCTCCCGCAAACAGTCCCACCCCCCTGATACACACCCACTGCTACACCGCTAGCTCTACTCCCACGCACCCCCCCTTAACCCTAAACCCCAGTCTCCCACACAACCACCCCCCTCAGCGACAGCTGCACCAGTGGGAGACGAAGGAGGAGGAGGAGCAAGGGAGGAAGGCACACCGGCCACCCCCATACCCGCCACCCCACAGCTCGCGGCCCCCGAAGGAGCCGCGACGGGCGACGGGATATGGCAGGGGGAAGGGGGGGGGGGGGGGGGGGGGGGGGCGGTGTGGTGAAAGGGGCCCACCACGGGCCTGGTTGGAGGGCGGGGCCGCGACAAGGGGCGGGACCGCGACGGTCGGGGCGGGGCCGCGACGAGGGGCGGGGCCGCGACGTAGAGCGGGGCCGCTTCGAGGGGCGGGGCCGCGACGCAGGGCGGGGCCGCGACGTAGGGCGGGGCCGCGTCGAGGGGCGGGGCCGCGACGGTCGGGGCGGGGCCGTGACATAGGGCGGGGCCGCTTCGAGGGGCGGGGCCGCGACGCAGGGCGGGGCCGCGACATAGGGCGGGGCCGCGTCGAGGGTCGGGGCCGCGACGGTCGGGGCCGCTTCGAGGGGCTGGGCCGCGACGCAGGGCGGGGCCGCGACGTAGGGCAGAAGCCCGCCGCACGCCTCGGGGCGCACAGCGGGCAAAGAACCGCCGCGCGCCTCGGGGCGCACGGCGGGCAGAAAACCGCCGCGCGCCTCGGGGCGCACGGCGGGAGGAAAAAGTAGCACCGGAAGCGAGGTGGTAACCCACCCACAGGATCGATCCAAGGGGATCGACGTGCTCTGATAGCATGACAAAGTTTGAAGAAAGAAGAGGAATGAACTAGCAGAAATGGGGATACAAATAGCAAACCCTAGAAGGGTTGTACTCGCTATAGAGCACCCCACTACAGGCTAGAACATAAGAATAATATTCTGACACGATTGATCCTAGGGAAGGGTTACAGGCACGTTGGCCTGGGGGGTTATGGGCGCACTGACCCGCTACTTAACAAGCCCTTTTATCCCAATGGTCTAGTGGTTGGGATTCTGACAATGACCCCTCAGAATCCATTTCTTTTGGCAAAATTGCGCGCCGCGCTGTCGCGCGAACTTTTCTTAATCCTATTGACCAGGCTCGCACCGCAGGTGGGGCGACCAAAACTCGTCCAAATCGATCGACCTACATGCGCTATCGCAGTAGTATATCCCAGTATTGATGCGTGGGAGTCGGTGGTCCCTCTCGATGTCACTGTTTTGGTAGTGCGAAAATGTTGGCGCGCGTGTCATGATTCTTGTCAACATACATTTGTTTGGCACGTGTCCACCACGATTTACTAAAACATTTTAGAGCAATAAATCTAAGCTGGGGCTGACAAAAAATAAACCCCGAAATATAGGGACGCAATTCGGGAGGCATCAGCCGTAAACACGGATGGAAGGTGTTTAGGGTTGATGCCTCGAATGTGGTACAATTTGGGAGGTATCAGCCTTAAATACGGGAGCTGGCAAGGTGTTTAGGGTTGATACTTTGAAAGCAGTGCCTGGCTCCCGGACTGAAGTGACGTAACACGTTGCAAAATCTGTCTTTGGTGAAAGAATCGAAACCCAATGCAGTAATTTCGTGATTCTGACCGTATATCCAAAACGCACCTGTAACGCGATATAGATTGCTCGCAGCATGAATATAACGTAGACGCGCATGTAGGTTGATCCATTTGGACGAGGTTCGGTCGCCCTACCTGCGGTGCGAGCTTGGTCGATGGGATTGAGAAAAGTTCGCGCGCCGGCGCTTCGCGCAATTCTGCCATTTTCTTCTTTTGTGTCACGGCTGCCACTGGCCTAGTTGGCCCCTTTAGCCAGACCCGTAGCCTCTGTCCACCTCCCCCATCCGTAGCGCAGCAGTGCGTGTTACCAAGAGGCAAGCGTCTAACTCGCTCCCTCGATGAGAATGGGCACATTGACTTGTTATAAACATGTCCACCGCCATTGAACAAACAAGGGCCAGAGAAACACTTGTGGAGATATAAACATGCAAACGGTCACTATATATACTTTGTTAATGTGTTTGGTAGGTGAGTTGACACATTTGGTCACTAAGGGCGTGTAACTCTTTTCGATTAGGGGAAATATCTAGATGCAGCTTCCAAATCGCCTGCAAAATTGGTTACGCTCGGACGTTCGGGACTCACGTTCTCGTAACAAGCTTTGCCCAAGCGGGGGCGGGGCCATTCCCCGGCGGCCTTTGCTTCCCCTTCCCCAGCGGCCTTTGCTGCCCCTTTTCATGTAGCATCTGCAACCTCTTCCCCAGCAACATCTGCTGCCCCTTCCCCTACAACCTTTGCTGCCCCTTCCCTGGAACCTGTACTGCCCCCACCCGTGCAGCCTCTGCTGCAACTTCCCCCCTGGCTCTGCCCACTGCCCCCTCAATGTGTTTGGGTCAGGTATGTGTTGTGCCATGCACAGATGTAGCTGCTTTCGTATGTCTTTTGGTTGGGGAGTGGGAAGCAGTGGGTGAGTTGGAGGACCTCTCCGCTGTCCGCCGTGCTACACTAGAAAATGTAGGGGATTTGAGTGACCTCCCTGCAGCCTCCAGGATTGTGCCTCCAAGGAGGATGGGAGATCATGCACTTGTGCCACCCCTGCTATCACCTGAAGTGAGGGTGGGCTGGGATGGGGCAGCAGGACTGGGGCGGGGTTTTGAGCGTGATTGTTCCTCCTCATGTATCCCTTCTAGAGGGGTTTGATGTTCCCGTGTTCCCGCTTCCTCAGAGCTGCGTTTATGGCCCCAAGAGTCAGAGTGCGTGGGTTTTTTTGCTCGGTCAGATGTTTCTTCTTATTAACAGATGACGTGGGGGGCATGGGGGGTGGCTCGGCTATGGATCCTGCCATATTGCCACGGGACTCATGGGCCTGCCTTCCCCCCACTCATGAGGCGTTGGGGCATTTTCACATAGTCAGCATGCCTAGTGGTGATGGTGGGGGTGGCTGGGGTTGGTTGAAGCCGTAAAAGGGTGTACAGCCGTTAAAGGGTTCGTCGTACACATTGACCTGTGCGGACCGTTTCGAGTGGTCGCCAAGGATGGCAGCTTCTACTTCCTTCTGCTGAGGGACCGAAGACGCGCTACGTGTGGGTGAGACTGGTCGCCAAGAAAAGTGTTTAAGCAATGGCTGCTGGTCGTGGAGA